AATAGGGCTGTCGGCTGTGTATTAACCTGACTTCTGCACAACACAACTGATGGTCCCAACCCCATTGATAAAGCAAGAAATTCCACTAATTAACCCTGATAAGGCACACCTGTGAAGTGGAAACCATTTCAGGTGACTACCTCTTGAAGCTCATGGAGAGAATGCCAAGAGTGTGCAAAGCAGTAATCAGAGCAAAGGGTGGCTATTTTGAAGAAACTAGAATATAAAACATGTTTTCAGTTATTTCACCTTTTTTTGTTAAGTACATAACTCCACATGTGTTCATTCATAGTTTTGATGCCTTCAGTGAGAATCTACAATGTAAATAGTCATGAAAATAAAGAAAACGCATTGAATGAGAAGGTGTGTCCAAACTTTTGGCCTGTACTGTACATCAAAATAATGACTCAGTATCTCAAATTAACTAAACTTTCTCAAAATAAGGACTTAATTGTTGTGACAGTTCAACCTGGGACCCAAAATTCAAACACAACCAGGAAATGGGGAATGGTTAAAGGTAGTTTTTTGTAGTTTAAAGAAGTGGAGCTGAAGACTTGAATGAAAAGATGGCTGAGGTGGGCCAACCACAGGCTGGGAACGGCGAAACAGAGCAGGCAGAGGAGCTGAAGGCAGAGCTGTCCAAATCCGGAAGACAAAGAAGAAGACCAAGAACGAGGCTAGACGTGGGGGGTTATGGTTGAGGCTGATGTGGTGAACCTGAGACACAACAGAGTGTGAATTCATGTCCAAAAGCACAAAAAGACAAAGTGTCGAAAAACTAGAAGTTGGCCTTGACATCTGTGTCGCAGAGGAGACTGAGCAATCTGTGTGTCTGAGCCGGGGTTTTATACTGCAGTGGACTGATTGTAGATGAGGTTCAGGTGTGCAGGTTCAGCAGCTGCTGGCGGGGGAAGGAACAAGACAGCCACGCCCAGCAAACACACTGAGGGTGTTTCTCAAAGTTAAGGATCCCTGCTCGGTAGGACGAGTCCTTCCAAGGAGGGATCCTGCAGAGGCAAGGCAAGAGTCCTTTGTAGCATCCAGTGAGCACACATCAGAGGAGGCTAACGAGTGTCCCCAGGTGACCTCATTAACCCTCAGCAGACTGAGGAGGTTTCAGGGTACTGTGATCATTTTGGCACTCTGTAATGTTGTTGGACAATTTGAACAAATGTAGCAGTATTTTCAGAGTCACATGACTTTTAGGGAGAATATATTTCTGGATTAAATTTACAAAAACAAACAGGTAGATTAAATAGTCAACTGAACCCATTAAGAAGAGCAATGTATTCAGACAGAGTTTTTGTGAATTTGATAGTACGATTGCTTTATTGAAAGTACAGTAGTACCATTGCCAATAGTGGGATAGTTAGTGGGCTGAAACTGTAAAACTGAAAGGCAGATAGTTAAAGTGTTTATATGTTGTATTGACTTAAAAGTGGGGCGCACTGGTAGTTCACATGGGAAAGGTGCGACTAGCCCTTGTTGCAGCAGCATACCATACCATGACTTATTCATACCAAACATTAGAAACAACACCAACATTGGTCCACAGGGGGAGCCACAGCGATCTGTCACATTTTAGCCATTTTGAAGCATTTTTCTGTTGTTATAGCGCCACCCAGTTGCCAATTAGAGTTAAATTTCTCCAGTCACCTTGAGGCGTCCTGTTCTACATATCTACCAAGTTAGTAAAAATCCATATGGCGGTTAGGCCTAGATAAGAAATGAGCTCTCTAGCGCCCCCATTTTGTTTGATGGGGTCAATAATGGAGGGGTCCCCTCAGATTATGTGTGGTCATATGCCTACAAAGTTGCGTGGTGATGGGTGAAACCCTTGAGATGTTATACACCTTTATGTGATGAGCCACGCCCTCCGCAATATTCATTGCCTTATAGAAGCTCAGTTTTAGTAAGTTTTCCAACTTTTGCCAAGAGGGAACTTTAGATATTGGTCCCTAGATTATGTTCACCCAGTTTCATGCAGATCGCTCAAACTTCCTAGGAAGAGATCCATTTGAAGTGTTTTTCAAAAAATTCAAAATGGTGGAAAATCTATATAAGCGGAAGTTATGGGTTCTTGAGGCAAATGTGTTCCTCATGAGGAGAGGCATCTCTGTGCAAAGTTTCATGTCTCTACCACATACGGGGCATGAGATATGCCCATTCAAAGTTTGACATTTCAATGGGTTGCTATAGCGGGCTGATGATGTAGCCTCCTTGAAATTCGGCCGTTTGAGGATCCTTCCTTGACTCTGAGAAACACCCAGAGACAGACTGCAAACAAACATGAGACACTAGGAGGGGAAACAGGAAACACAAAGGAGAGACAAAGCAGAAACCCCAACATCAATATCTTAACTAGACTATCTTGAACAAGATTGAAATAACTGATAACAAAATCACAGTTTGGAGTTGAGGGACCACAGATAATAACAAGGTGACATCTTCAAAATGGAATCAAGTAACAAAAATTCCTTTGACTGGTGACTCAGCTGAGTTTGAGGGTTTGATTGGTCTTTGAAAATAATCTGAAACATGTTCCTGGAATTTTATGTGATATCATTACATATAAATGTGTGTTAGCTGCAGACACCTGACTAGAAATATTAAACAAGTTGTCATTTAACCAGGAGAGAAATTAGCCTGTTAATTTTTCAGGATTCAACAACAGCATTTCTCAATAATCAGCGACTGTCATCACACCTGAGATGTAGTTGCGTTAAGACGCTCTGATTTTCCACTGCAGGATACAGGTAGCTCATTCAGCTCAGAAGTTCTCTGAGAAAACCCCACGATGCTGGCTTACATCAGCTGACCTCCATGAACCTGCACAGAGAACATATTACTAACCTCACTGTGTTCACTGTGTCAAGTGTTACGTAACGCCTTCGCTCCGCTGGGTCGACACACACCGGGGCCAACATTGTGTCATGCGTTGTTGAGCTCAGTACTTCAGTGTGTAACGGCGCAGAGGGACGACATGCTGAGCGGAGAACGAGATGTTTGAGAGATGATGGAGTTCTTTCTCAACTTGTTTTCCTGCTCGGCTGCTGGGGTCGAGCTGGAGTTCAGTTGTGGCTCTTTTTCTTTTTCATACACTCGTAACGTCTTTAATGAAGACATTAATGAATTATTCTGATCTCATTGTTCACTTATTTGGTTTCTTTTGAAGCCTCTACGTCGTAAGGTTGAATTATGTTTTTTCGCCACTTGTTTCAATAATCATTGGAATGCAATTTCTGGTTGCCTACGTGAACCAGTCAGGTTGAAGTTACAGTTTACATCCATGTCTGTCCAGAGTCATATGACGGCTTGACAGTTCACAATGCGTCAAATGTTGCTGCAAAGAACTTACAAATATTTTAACATGGATGCTCCACATACAGAAGATCTGTACAGTCAGCACAGTTTCAAGATTAGAGTCACCAAATGAAGCTCTCACTTAAGTTCAGTCAGGAAGACAATACTTTTCATGCTCGACTGTAATTTTTCTCCCACCCTGACATTCACTCCTTGAACCAGTAGTGCAGAGACACACCTTCACCGCCAGCCAATCATCGTCCTGCTCCTCATTTTAAATATGGTTCTTTTTCTGCCCGCAGTTCTTTCATGCTGCAGCCGTGTCATCCCGGTCTCAATCTGACGTTGTCGAAATCCATTGCTTGATTAGTGACTTCCGGCATCAGACACCAACAAAACAAAGCCGTCCTTTTGCGTGAACATGATACATGGCAGGTCATTATCATAGTTTAACGATGCCCAGCAGCGACTGGGGGAAACATGACGGGACAAGAATGAAAGTTAAGGCAGCAAAAGTCCCAGAAGTGCAGGTAGGAGGGGTGGATGGGTCAAACAGCAACGGACTTTCACCCAGGAGGTCAGTTTTCACCTCCTGTAAGGTGTAAAGCCAAACCCTGTTCTTTTTTCTTAAACCTAACCATGTGTTTGCTGTTGAAGGAAACAAACATCGGTGTTGTACCGATGTAGTGCTTTTATTTTGAAAGAGACTGTATACAAACTGTACATTTCCTGTGAAAACAGAAGTGTATTTTGAAAACAGACAATGCATGTAACAGGCTGAAGTTGACACGGTGTCCCAGAACATCAACAACCAACACACCCAGGGTACCCTGGACGTCATATGTGGACGTGGAAAGTCCATGACCAAACGTGGACATGTGATGAGGTCAGAGTGAGGATGTGTTGGCTGTGCGTACTCTCCACCTCCCCATCACCACCTAGTTTTCTTGGATTTGTCAGCCTCATCAGTCATCAGCCTCGGAGTCATCAGAGTCCACTTTGCCTGTGGACTTTTACATCTACAAATAACGTTCTAGGTATCTGTATACATCTGACGTCTTTTCAAAATACACCTCAGGAAATGTACGGTTTCTGCTCGTTAGACGCACACAGTCTATTTCGAAATAAGCACACAATGTTGGTATAACACCTCGGATTTATGTTTATGGCAAAAGCATGTAGTTGGGTTTCAAAACAAACATCACGATTTGAGTCTACACACAGACAGAAAGTGAACAACAGCCTCCTGGGTAAAAGTCTGGGTTTGCTGGACTCGTCCACCTCCCCTTCCACTCGCCCCATAAGGACTTTCCAGTTCCTTATAAAACTTTGTTACCCTGCCAACCAGTGTGTTTCATAACATCACCAAAGGTGCCTTTGTGTGTCCTTCTGTCTCAGTATCTATCAAATGTCTCCCCTTCTGTTCCTGAGATGTGACGTTGAGTAGTGGCCAAAATCTACACCCATGATTATGGTGGTTGCTATGGACACTGTGAAACTAATGTGGACACATTCTGATGTAAGACTGAGTTCCATGATGACTATTTGTCTTTCACAAAAAAAAGATTTATGAAAATATGAAAGTACAGTGTGCATGATCAAGAGCTCGTACAAAACTCTGTTAAGCTCACTGTTAGTTTCTTTTGACTGACTGTCTTTACATTGATATTGATTAGTCAATAAAGACGACACTTTTGAAAATAATTTTATTCCTTTTTTGAAAAATTGTCATCAAACACAAAGAGACAAAAATACAATAAAAAATATTCCATCAAGAACATAACACAACAAAACAGAACTACGGTAACCTGCAGTAACCTCTTGGTAGCGACAGATGGCGTTAGTAGAATATAAAAGGTCAGTGATGACGGAAAGTAAATTGGGATTAGATGAAAAATGGAACTAACATGAGAAGCATGACGACAGGGCGGAAGCTTCAGATCCCAGAGTCATGAAGTCGGAGCTTTGAAGGTGTGTGCGAGCCTAACAGCATGGAAGAGTAGTAGTGCTCATAATTACAAGTTCTTAAACGCAGTAGGTGTGGCCCCAGACACACACACACACACACACACACACACACACCCCCCTCTATTGGTTGCTTGGTTTTTCAAAGTGTTCATGATTGGTTGAAAAACACTGAGAGCCAGCTCGGGATTGGTTGAAGGGTTGGGTTATTGATTGTTTGCTCATTCTAGCTGCGACATCAAGGCTCGATCTCCTCGGGGACAATGGTGAGCATGACGTCCTCGTTGCCTCGCCTCACCACTGTTCGCAGCGTCTCATCCTGCTTGATGGCGCCACTGACGTCGCTGGCCGAGGTGATTCGCTCGCCATTGATGGTGATGATGACATCTCCCTCCTTCAGGCCAGCGCTGTCAGCAAAAGAGAGAAAGTGTTTTTCTTTAGCAGGATATCTTTCTGTTAAAATCTTTATTCATCATTATATATTCTGTCCCTGCAACCAAATCACCAAATAAATGTTGGCGTTGTACGTTTCTGCAAACCACAGATACGTTTCATCACTGTGGTTAGATCTAGGCACAAAAACACGAGAAAAGATCATGTTTTGGCTACAAGTACCCAGTTTTTGGGGATATAATCTGGCAGGAAACAGCAATGCCTCCATCAAAAACACCTACTTTTTGTGACGCTATCTTGCTGCTTTTTATCGCACTGTTTCAGCAGGAAATGCAGTGATGTCGTAATAGAAAAACAACCACTTTTTCTGGCACTATCCAGCAGGAAACACAGCTCCTGCAAATGTAACCTATGTGTGGTTTGCAGAAACCCTGAAATTATGTACAGCACTTTCTTCCACTTGTGGTGCTTCTAAAATCCGTGACAACCCATTTTCACTAACTCTGTCTGTTCATCTTGTCATGAATATATAATATCATAGAGAAGTACTACAGATTTGAAGTTTTCAGAGGCTTTGCTTTAATAAATACATTTCTGTTCCTTAAACGTAGAGGCTCGAGGGCACAGAGGATGCTCGACTTGGACTGAAGCAGTTTGTCCTCCCTGCCAGAGGGAGTTGGACAGTGTGGGTGGGAAACATTCATGACTCTGCTTTCACTGCCAGCTTTCATCCTGCGTCCACAAGCAAAACAGCAGCTTTAAAACCAGAAGTGAAGTTTCCAAATCCTGCAGTCTGAAAGTTCAGATCTAATAAATGTCCTTTCAGTAAGGTCAGATCCTCATCCTGACTCACAAACCCACCAGACAACAAGAAAACAAACTCTACCTGCGACTTTCTCCGGTGCAGCGTCAACTAGCTTTAATGTGGATACCATACATCTTTCCAGGGACAAAGCAGATTCTGCAGCAGTGAGTGTGGAACCAGCCAACCCTTCTATCTGTCTCTGAGTGTCAACTTCACGATGTGGAAAATGTGCCGAACTTGTGCCATTTATTGGCATGAAAAAATTAAAGTTGCTCCAGATGATTCATGCAGAATTACACATCCTCAAATCTGTTAAAGCTGCTTGTTGTTGATTTGACATATTGGGCAGTGAACTCCAGATAATGTGGGAATAAGAAGGAATGAGAGAGAGACACTCACGCCTCAGCTGGAGTCCGGCTGATGACCTCAATGACGTACGCCCCCGAGGTGACATCTGGGAAGTCTGAATGCCGCTCCTTCAGCTCCTTGGCCAGCCTGACGGGAGGAAAACAGGAGCTCTTAATTAAACTGGAGCGGATGATGCATCGTGACTCATTTGAAATTCCGACATGCGAAGCATCGCTCTGATTAATCGGGACACTTTCAAGCTTGGAAAAGCTGCAACCTCAGCAGTACTGGGCTGATTTTAATGAAGCTGATTGGTCCACACAGGACAGCTGTATCATTGAGTCAACATGTTTAATCAGAGTCAGCAGATTCTTCTGAACACCAGCTCACAAGATCAAGCATCCCTCCTACACCTAACAGGGCTCCCTTCAGTGCAAGCTCTAGCTTAAGATAAAAGTTATTCACAGAGCGTCTCAGACCTTAAAAGAGATCTTAGTTAAAAAACTGTTTGGAGCAGAGAGGTGGACTTTTATTTCTTTGTCCGAGGGATGTCGCACGTTGTAAAGCTCTTCCCCCCGTCGTCCGCCTCCACTGTCTCATTAATGAATCACTTTATTTGACCAGAAACACCTAGTTTTAGGTTGCGTCCCTTTCCCTTTATGAGCTGTGGGTGGTAACAACGTCTGGAGCATGACATCATCAGAAACAGAACTTACGTTGGAGTGAGACTCATCATTCTGACGCCGATGTATTTCTTCTTCTGTAATGTTTTACCTGCAGAGCAAAGAGAAACATGCTGTGACTGATGTAAGGCTCATCACCTCATTCGTTCACCCTGTTAAGTGGAGCTACAGTTACAGCTCAGCTAGGACATTTAACTGGCCTACTGTCCTTGTCCCAGTATACAAGCACGGGAGGGGAATCCATTTATTGAGCCAAGTATGTGCGACTCCTCTACGATAGGTGGAGATATGCCCCCTTTCCTGTTGACCTATTACGTCACAGACCAAACAATGGACAAACAAGTTAGCTACAGTTAGCTAGCTGCTAACTGGTACCATGGTGGACAACTTTACAGCTCTGTACATTTGGTCCGTCCAAAAAGTCACGGCTCTGGATGTAGATTTCTCCATGTTGTTACCGGCTTCTTCTTCTCTTACACATTTAATGCTATTGGACTTCCGGGTCAAAGCCCGGGGCGGAAACTGTGGAGCATGCTCAGAGCGCCTCGGCCAGTTTGGGTCTGATTGACTGTATACATGCAGGATTCACATGATCTGGGTGTGTTAGTCCCACTGTGACAAATTTAGGACCATTTCACTCACACTAACATGTTTACAGGGATTTTAAAAGTCCGGTTTTAGTCGGAGAGAGTCAAAGAGCTGCGAACCTTTGGCCTGTCTGTCATGTGACTCTGCCAGGAACTGTCTGATTTTGTCCGAGGGGATGGCGAAGGAGATTCCTGCTGTGACCTTCAGAGTGTTGATACCGATCACCTCTCCATCCTGCAGGACACACACACACACACACACACACACACGGTCATTTTGTTGTGTTCCTCAAACGCCCCACAGTAATGTCACTGTTTAACTGATGCCACATTGTTCTTCAGTAACACGGTCGGCTCAAACCAAACCCATAATCAGAGTCAGCTGCAGACTGCGACCGTCTGCCAAGCATTACCTAAACTCTTTATTTACATTTCTTAACTGGAACATTATGGGCCCTGGTGTTTGTTTATATGAGATTACATATATCTGTGTTTCGCAACATGTGGACGTCGTCCCAGTAAAGAGAAACTCTGTTTTAAGACTCAGAGGTGATGGAAGATTTAAATGAACCCTATTCTCAGGGTGGCGACTTCTTTTTCCATTTGAGATGCCAAAAACAAGAGGTGACATAACATGATCGTTTATCATCAATACCAAACATGTACAACTGTACGCCTCCGTGCACCAGTAGAGTTACAGTTACAGTTTCCATCCATTTCTGTGAAAACATGGACACCTCACACCTCAAAGTACACCAGGACGTACTTTGAGATCCTCGGGCAGAGGGCCCCGAGGATCTGGAACAGTCTGGCCGAGTCAGTCATCTCTTTTAAGTCCCTTCTTAAAACATTATTTTATCTGAGAGCCTTTCTTGATTTCACCTTTGTTTTAAGTTCATTTAAACTGTCTTTTATTTCCTCAGTTTTTACATACTAAAGTGTTTTTATCAGTTCTTTTAAAAGTTGTGTGGACAACTGCATCAAATCTACAGAAATTCCCTCAAGGTGTTCTCGAGATATCGTGGTCACAAGAATGGGACTGATGGACTAAATACATGACATGTCCCCTGCGTCCCCCTTGAAATCTACACCCATGATTATAGTGGTTGCGATGGATGCTGTGAAACTAGTTTTGCACTGTGGACCAACGTAGCCATGACACATTCTGATGTGAGACTTCCTTCACTCACCAGATTGACCAGTGGTCCTCCTGAGTTGCCGTACTGCAAGAAATCAGAAACAAAGAATATAAAACCAAAGAAACAAAACATTTGAGCAGGTTGTTTCTGACATGAAATGCAGATTATTTGATTATTGTTAGAAAAATATCATATTTTGGCTTAAAGTACCAACTGATTCAGGGGAACAAGCAGCAGGAAAAGCTGCGGTGTTTCTATAAAAACCAAGCACTTTTGGAACTGTGATTCAGAGACAGGTCGCTACAAAAAAAAACATCTGCTTTTGTTGTGTGTTGGTCTTGAACAGTGGTCTGCAGCTTGGCAGGCGTCCCTACATCACTTTAGAAATGTTGACATGACACGTATGAAACATGCAAATGTAACATATTTGTGGTTTGCACAAACGTCCAACGCCAACAGTTTCCTCTGGAGCTGGAGCTGCATCATTTACATAAACATGCAAATCATTTGGATCCAGTCAGACTCAGTTTTGGGAGCAGAACTGCTGAGCCATGAAAGCCTCAAAGTCTTTTTGTTCCTCCCACAGACATTTTTCCAACCTCCCCAGCCTCAGGGCCTGTCTGTCTGTCTGTCTCTGTCTGCCTGTCTAATCACTCACGTTGATGATGGCGTCGGTCTGGATGTAGTCCATGTCAGATTTGCGGAGGCCCAGCTCTTTGCCTCCCCTCTGGGTGGTGCTGACAATGCCGGTGGTGACGGTGTTCTGCAGGGAGAACGGGCTGCCGATGGCGACCACAAACTCGCCAGGACGAAGGTCCGCCGACCGGCCGAGGAGCAGCACTGGCAGCTTCATCTGCTCCACCAAGACACACAGGGGAGGGAGACAGAGAGAGAAGTACGGTTAAAGAAAGGATGCAGTCAGAGATACTACTGAGTTTTCTGTTTCCTGTTAGTGTTCAAGGGAGACGCCAAAGACAACAAAGAGTTAAGTCCAGTCCAGTCCTTAAGTTTTTTTGTTTTTGGTTTTGAAAGAATAAAAAAAGAGACATGATCCTCTCTTTAAATGCTGCCGGAGGACGCTGTGGTTTTCATCTGAATCTGGTGGAAAATAATAGACTCAGAGGAACATGCATGATCAACAAAGACTGAAGGAACACCAGCATAGTCAGCTGGCAGGACACACACACACACACACACACACACACACACACACACACACACACACTCAGAGGTAAACAGCAGTTTATTCTCTCTAAGCTGTTGGAAACAGACGTGGATTTCCTGTGGAGAGCTGAGTCAGCTCCTCTCTAGTCACAACTCAAACTGTAAAACACCACAAACGTCGGCTCAGTTCAGTCGAGGCAACAAACTCCACGGCTGAAAAATAAAGCCAACACTGACGTGCCAAAACCTGCAGTTCCTCTAATGTCCACTTGAGGCTGGCTCCAAGAGTGAGTCAGTCCCCACAGGCCCTCATGTTACAATGTAGAAATAAACATGTTTACAGCCTGTTTGGTCTCTGTAAATAATATCAATATTCATGACGACTGTATGGAGGTGAATTTTCATCTGTTTACATTTTATTAAGGCTTAAAGTTGTGCATAATTTAGGGCGGGGCCTCTTTGAGTGACAGGGGACCTTTCCCAAACCACCCTTCACCCACTCCCCACTTTCACTCTGTTTCCGTGATAACACAGAGGGTCCTCCACACTGAGTGTCGTCACAAACCAACCAGTGAGGAGTGGAAGTGAGCTGTAAAACCCTCCGACAGCGAGTCTGCACAGATGCCAACTTACTGAGCATGTGCAACGCCGTATTGTGTTTGTCATGTAAGACGCTCTGTTCTCTTTGTGGACCTTAGACTAATGACTAAGGAGAGTCCCCGTCGAGTCCCCGTCCGGACCAAATATGGAGCATTGACTGGTGGCTAGAGAGGTGCCAGTTCACCTCCTGGGCACTGCCGAGGTGCCCTTGAGCAAGGCATCGAACCCCCCAACCGCTCGGGGCGCCTGACCAAAGGGCAGCCCCCTCACTCTGACATCTCTCCACTTTGTGCATGTATAGGTCCTGTTTGTGCATGTGTGTGTCTTTCAGACCTGTGTGTAATTGACAAGCAAGAGTGAAAAACATTGAATTTCCCCTCAATGGAATTAATAAACTTAACTTAAACTTCTACCTCAACTTTCCATCTTGTTTTAGTATTTTTTACTGTTCAATAAATGTTTCTTATTTTAAACTTGAGACCTGTAATATTTGTTATCATTGTGTCATTTTTTTGATGTAAATTGAGGGAGCAAAAGCAGTATCGGCCCCAAATATTGGCTCAAGAAAATCGGCAGTCCATAATCGGTCATCGGCTAAGTGTGAAAAACGGTATCAGCATCTGCCCTAAAAAATCCATATCGGTCTATCCCTAATCTGGACCCACCAGTTGGTAATCACTGGACTAGGACGGGGGTCCTTTATGCCTATGTTTAAACTGGCTGCTGCTGCTGTAGGATGTCTCTGCCAGCCTGTCTACATGCAAAGAAAAAAGAAAAAAGAATATGGCCAGAGAGATGAATGACGTCCATGTGTCACTGTTACAGCGTGAGATGGGCAGAGAGATCCAGAACGAGTCCAGCTGGTTAACTCTGTGATTCCGTTTCTGCTCTGATGAACCGGATCAGAACTCTGAGCTTTTCCTTCCTGTCGCTGCGATATCCAGAAGAGCTGAGTGCTCCTGAAGGTGACACAGTTCATGTTGCCACTGCATGTGAGGAGCCCAGCAAAGATTTTAATAAGTAATAATCTGTTCAAATAGACTTAAGTAGAGTTTTATTACTCTGCAGCTGGATCAGTGTCACAATGTCTCCCCGTTTTATTAGAGCCAGGAAACACGACTGGAAACACGACTGGAGAGCGCCGTTTGCTCTGCTACTGCTGAGTGTTATTAGCCAGTAGACACACACACACACACACACACACACACACACACACAGAGGCATGTGCCAAACATATTAAAAATTAATTTTATAGAGTGTTTTCCTTGATTTTACAGAATAAAAGTGACCTGAGCTCCTGCAGTTTGGCACAAACCCAGTCAGCCTCCACAGATGTTGTTTTAAAGCCACACAGGTCCCTTTATGCAGGTAAAAGTATAAATGTCAAATATAATTTTAACAGCTCTGAAAACTTGTATTCTCAATTAGCTTCTGACAAAGTTACAACAGATTTTGGATATTTAACGAGAGACTTTTTTCTTTGATTCTAACTGGGTGTCCCTCTCCTGAAATCCTTGGCATTATTTTCTATTTTCAGTTATTACTCGTTTATTTCTGTGTGTGCATGCTGCTATCTGCTGTGGTATGTGTGCAAGACAAGCTGTTCAAACAAGTTGCCCCTGGTGAGATTGTAAATAAAGTTGTCTGAATCTGAACCTGCTTCTGACTGACTGGTGTCACTGCTCCATAATGGCTGAACTGTCTCTCCGACGCTTTCCCCACCCGAAGTATCACCATCTTGTCAGTGGACTTTCACAACTACATATGACTTGCTACGTATCCTCCTGCATCTGTTGTTGGCATTCACTGCTGCTAGCTGCTTTTAAAATCAGGCGTGTCGATTTACGCCTGTTACATACAGTGTGTCTTTTCAAAATAAACTTAAAAAAAACTTCAAAAATAACTTACAGTGTTGGTAAAAGACCTCGTTTGTACGTTTATGTCCTTGTGCAACAAAAGCACGTGGTTACATTAAGAAAAAAAGCATTCATATGGGAAGTGAACAGCTGCCTCCTGGGTGAAAGTCCAGGGTTTGTTGGATCCGTCCACCTCTGCCCTCTAGGGACTTTTCAGCTCCTTACGCTGTTACCAGCGGCGTTACAAACTTACGTATCATACCGCCGTACAAGGTGCCACTTTGCATCAGTGTCTGAGGCTGAAATCGCTGACAAAACAGCGATATCTGACAACATGGGAATGAGAACGGGCTGGTCTCTTTGTTGAGGTGATATCAGCAGAGTCACAGGCTGAAATTACGAGGTCTTATGTTGTAATTATGTGATCCTGACAGCGGTTTGATATTTCAATGTTGAAAAACAAAAAAGTTATTGAATTTTAAAATGGGTCGCATTGCATTTTTACGACGGTCCAGACGTTCAGTTTGTTGTGCTCTCAACTGCATCGTCATTTTGATTATTTTCAGTTGAGTAAAACTATGAAATATCTGCTTGCTTCCAAGAGATCCCCACACTGGGAGAAATCAAGGGTTTGATCCGGGGCTAGTGAAGATAATAGACGGCTAGCCCCTTCTCATTACGAAGTCGTCATGTATCGCCGCTTTGCTGTTGCCTTTTACGTCTCTATATGATGCATTAGATATCCTTAGTCATCTGCTGTTTACATTCTGGGACGCCAACAACAAAAGTACGTGGCAACTTGATTGTCCCGTCAACAGTTTTACAGATTCTTTATCATGATGGGGAAGACGATTTTGATCCACAGGGGATTTGGAGTCTGGAGTGGAGTTTGGCCACTGGAACAAACTCGCCGTTCAGTATCCAGCTCCTCAGAAACATCTACAGTACGATCTTCAGACGCTCTGGCTGCAGCCCTCAGCCATGCTGTTCGCTGATTGGCCCGAGCCGCCTGCTGCACGCCGTCCTACTAACCTACTTCAGCTCCAGATGTGACACCGAGCAGAAAAACTGAGACATGAAGCAGCTGTGATGTGCAGACCCAACTTTCATCAACGCTACACTCCACCGAGCATGACAAGCCCCTGTTTGTGTGTGTGTGTCTTTGCATCTTGTTTCCCTGCTGATGACAGACACATGTGTTGCCCATTTCCTCTGTTAAGTAACAAGACTCTGACCCACTTTCTGTGGAGTGAGGGAGAGAGCGGAGGTGGAAACATACTGTACGTACCGAGGGAGAAGGAGAGGAAGGAGGAACAAGGTGAGAAGGTTGTGACAGATATTTTACGTCTCAGAGCGACTGTTGAGTGATGAAGACGTTTCCAGGTGAAACACAAATTGAATTTCTTCTGCGTGTCTCGCAGTTTGACTGACGTGCATTAAAAGCATAAAAGCCACAGGTATGCTCAACACATCTGTACATGACAAACACTCTGAGTATGTGCATTGGTGTCAAAGTGTGTGTGAGAGACAGATTGTGTGTCCCGAGGTCTGGATGAGTCACTGCATAATGAAAAAGCAAAATAAAATGTGGAGCCTGAAACAGAAGCCAAAGTGAGAACTGACAGCAGCCGCACTGAACCTCTCATGTACCTCGATACACTTCATCCAGAGCACTAAAGTTCAATCTCAAACATGGTAACACTTAAAGGACAGCTGACACCGTATCACCTCACAGAAGGAAGCGTGCATCTACTGCTAGCTAACGTTGCAGTTCAGCCGAGCACGCTGTTAATGTTTACATATCACACCATCACGAGCACGAACCTCTCGTCCATGAGTAGATGCACACTTTCTTTTGCACGGTGATACGTTTGGCAGGTGTAGTTCAACACAAAGAAAATAGTTCTCACCATGTTTCTTTTCCTAAACCTAACCTCCGTAACTTCACATTGAAGACATAAAGTCATCCATGGGATGCTAATTCGCAGGATATCTCATGGATATCATCCAAACTGTTGTTTTAGGATACACTGGATGATGATGGAGCCTCTGGGGGTGAATATTTCAGGCTGATCCAGTGTAACCACCAGATATGAGCACCTAGATTTCCTCTTCCATACTCTGCTTATTTCAAGTAATCTCTATGAACAGCTATCTGAGCATGAATGCAGATAAATTAAAAAAAAAATCCCATGCCAATACAAAGATAACTTGACATCAGACGTGATCCGAT